GCTCGTGGAATTGCACCAGGGCTGAGGGAGCAGAGCACGGCTCATCCATAATGCACGAACACCCACCGCGCCCGAGCCTGTCAGGAAGGACGGCAGTTCTCAGTACGAGCAACAGTATTCTGGGAGGCGGATGGTTAAAAATATGTATCGTATGCCTGTGCCACGATAAATTATTGACTGTACAGGGAGCTGGAAAAAAGGATTCAGCCCCATTAATAATTCATTTTCTAATCCAAACGAAGATGGAATTTTATGCACCACTTATTACCAGCGCCGCAAACTGGAAAACCTAACTGCACTTCCCGCTGTCTGAAAGCAGACCTGCCTCTCCATTTTCAAAACAATTCTTGAAATTTCTTCTCTAGCTTGAAACTCACAGTCAATCTTTTCCCTTGAGAAAGCACATGGTCACTCCTGAATATTTAGTAGGCACATTAAGGGTGGAGAAATCTATCTCTACGTTAAAGCAGCACTACAGGCACAGCAGGACAGCTCTGAAATGAAGTACCTCTCTTCGCTCCAAGCCCTTTGCAAACAGGCAGGTGTCACACTGCCAGGCAGTTTTTCTCACAAGGAAAATAAATCTTAGTGGCATTGAAAGATTTAGCGGCAATTGCAAAACCACCAGCGACAGATGGGTCCTTCAGGCACGACGCTGCCTGGTTTGAACACCTGAGGGTGGAGGTGGCCCAGCCAAGGGCAGCGCGACAGAACTACAGGGTGCAGAGATCTTCACGGAGACAGCTTTTACAATTTCTCGTACCACATTCAAAGTCTCAGCTTATTTTTGGTGTGATTAAAAAAGGGGGGAGGCACCTTACGCTGAGAAGGCTTTTCAACATCCGTTGACACATCAGTTTTCGTGCACATGTGAGAATTAAATGTTTTATACTACGAATACGTAGAAAAAGATTTTAATGCTTACCTCTCAAGAAAACCATCCTCATTCCATCTGTCGAAGAGCAGCGAGAAAAGAGTCACGACTACATTGAGACCCTTCCAACGCAGGCGCTTGAAAGAGAAGGGGAGTCTGGGTCTGCACACGCAGGCAGGAGGAACACATCCCACCAAACTGAGCATTTTGGGTCAGGAAATGCTCCGACACATCTGATATTTGGTACAAAAACGGAGAGCGCGCTAATTCATGTGTTCAGTGACAATCCCAAACTGGAGACGATGAATCTTCTCTGCATCTTCCCTGAAGTTTAGGTAGGCAAAGATTGTCACAGGGAAAGAACCAAGCAGCTTACTTAGAATTCTAATTTATTATTAAATTACATATCAAAGCTTTTTTTTTTTTTAATACATATAGAGAATGCACAATAGGTGAGAACAAAAATAATTACAGTTACAATAAAATAAATTTCAAGAAGCTCCATGAAAAGAAAAAAGAATCAGAAAGTGCAATCAGAAACTAATTTACAAGGGTCTGGACCAGGGTATTTTGTGTGAGAGAGGGTTTTGGTTTTTGTATTGAGTGTTCATTTAAACCATTTTCCTCACTCAGTAGCCACCTATGCATTCAAAACCAAAAGCATCACCATGGATGTCAAATATCCAGTCAACAGGAGAGAGACGGGACACCAAGAGGACTCGCAGATGTCACCTAGAATATGGCTCAGTGTGTCTCCTTGTAGGCTCCTGTTCTGCACACTGCTCGTTAGGATCTCATAATAAAATACTGCTATAAGGGGTTTGGGAATTATTTCCTCCTTCAGAAGTGATACAGGTGTTCCTTCTCCTTCCTGGTTCAACTTAAAGCTTTGGGGGGGTGGAAAATCAGCAAAAATAGGAAAAGGTTATGCACCAAGTGGTCTTGGGAAATAAGTTGCTACATTTAGAGAGTAAAAATAGTCCCGAATAAATGAGCTGCACAATCAGAAGGGGTGGACTAGACCTGACCTCCTGTGCAGCAGTTTGGGGGGAGCTTTAAGAACACAGCTGTGGAGCACAAGCTGCTGACATCTTATCTGAAACTTTCACATCACCTAAAAATCTACCTTTATTCTTTCGTTTTCAACATCCAGGGAGGAACTGATCCCTTCTCCTCACAGTGAACTTAAGACCATTCAAAGAAAGTACTTCTAAAACTACAAATGAAAAACGAGTTGATTATTCAGAGCAAGGAGTCCAGTGGGAATTTATACCACACTTCAATATCCAAAAACTCCTGAAATCAATATTGGTTAAGGAAAAAAAACCCACTGTGCCTTGCCAGGAAGGCACAAACTCTCGGCTCACCAGAAGCACCGTGGAGCTTGGTCCCAGACACTCGAGCTGGCAAAGCTCTGCCTCTGCCCGTGCTCGGGCTCGCTCCCGCGCAGGGCTGGGCTGCGACCACATGAGCACTCCCTGATGACTGAATACGCAGTGCTGGGCGTTGTCCGAATGCCATTCCTCTGGCTGTAGCCCATGAACATCACAAAAACACGCGAAAAAAATAGTCTGAAGAGCAGGGATAACAATTTCTGCACCCGTGTCAAGCGTGGCATCCGAAGTCACCAGCAGGATCCCTCGCGTTCCAGTGCCGGGCTAAGGGGTGGTGGGACAGGTCGAAGTAGGTGCTTGTGTGGTGCCAGGGACAAAGCAGAAATTTAAGAAGTGGTGGTGACAGGAGGGTAAACGTACGCTGTAGAAATATTATGTATTTACTCACTTCATTTCTATGGCCTGGCAGTAGTTCTTGTAGCGCAAGTCTATTTGGTTGAGTAACGAAACTGCAACTTTGCCAGGAATTGCAGAAATGAGAGTTCTTTAACCGCCTTTTTTTTTTTTCCCCCTTAGAGTAAGAGGAACCACACAGAATGAAAACCTTAGAGAACATATTTAGCAACGGGAGACATACAAACCTATATTTTGGGATTTGAGATTAAATACTACAATCCACTGTTTTCATTTTACAGTCCATTGCTCTTACTACAGGTCCACGTCATTAGAGCCGCTCGGGAGAAGGAGCAAGTCTTTCCCCTTGGCAATACACAACCACTCCAGAGAGCAGAGCAGCACACTGGCTCACTTCGCTAGAGGACTACAAGAAGAGGATGAAGGGGAGACGACAAGGTTAATTAAATGTATTTTCCAACACAAAACACCGTCTCAAAAACCGACACAAATAAAAACCACGGAGGGGCTGCCAACACTGAAACCATTCCCGGTAAAGCTTTATCAGAGATCATTCAGCATATTTCTGTTATTTCATACTAAAATATATCAGTTCCCCATAAGATTTTCATAACATGAAAAATCAATTATGTTTACATATTTATTATAATCTACATATTTTCCATAGCAGCTTTTCCACACAATAAGATTAAATATATGCACCAAATAATCAATTAAGTCCAGTAAAAAGACTGGTTACAAGATTAAATAAGTGAATTTATTTACGGTACTGCAGATCTCGTATTGCCAACTATATTGCAACCAAATCCTACAAATCTTAAACAGAAGCACGACTGCTGATGCCTCAGGGTGGTGGCAGAATCAAAGAAAAAGCATTGGGGGAGAAGATTTTCGATATCCCAGCACACAGATTCATTAACAAACCTCCTATACCCATCAAGGTTTTTCATAAACCCCCTTTATGAACACTTCATGCCAAACCAGAACATTCCTGAATCAACCAAATAATCACCCTTTATTTAAAATCCAAGCCCCATGATTTTACACATATTAATCCCAAACGCTTTTTAATCCCACCGACAAGATGACTGATTAGAAGCCTTTGTTGACTTTTTAGCACAAAGTTTTTCGCCTGCAAATAAGCTTTCAAAGCCACACAAACGTTTTAGGCACGGCAGCGTGGTTTTGCACGCTACACGGGTGCAAGTCTCTACCCCCTCCAAGAGGCACCTCACAGACACTATAAAAAGCAGGAAAAAACCGCGTCCATCCTGCCAGACTTAGTTCCAGAGGAGAACCTAGAGACTGTGTCACATTAGTGGGTAATGACATACAAGAAATCTGTTAGGAGCACTGTAATTTGATTGTGAAAAGAGTCAATCAAGTTCTTGGAAAGATATTTCAGTGCCTCGGTTTGAATTTATTGGGTTAGGATACGACAGATGGAAAAGAGATGTCAAAAGAGCAGAAAAATATCTGTAATTTGTGCGTCTGCCATATCAAAGCCATTCCTGACCACAGCTTTGTTCGGAGACACCAACACGACAGGATTCATGCTGCATGTCTGGACAAAATTAAAAAAACTTCCTCCTCAGATAATGGTAAATACTACTTGTTTCACTATTCATCCGTTTGACTTTGTACTATGAGGAGTTACATCCAAAACTTTCGCAGGCAGATCTGCTTGCCTCGGGTATAACCATCATAATTGCCACTTCCAATTGACAGTTTCGATTATATCCTACTTACAGTGTAAAAATATTAATGCTATTAGAATAACTTTATCTAAATTACAATATAGGCTTTTCAAACTGCTTATCGCGTCGTTATAAAGACCTTTATGATGCCAGCCAAAATCAAAGTATTTACACTCAAAAGGCTACTTTTAGGCTGAACTCACGTTTGGTCACTTTTCAGATGACTGAACACTACAGTAAACAGCTGCTAGTACACCGTGCTCCCTTTTTTTTCAAAGGGGGACTTATTAGTCCCTTTAAAGCCACAAGAAACCTTACAAATTTTCCTCAGAGGGGAGTTTATTCATACTCTGTGCAAACAGTGAACTGAACAATCCTTTTAATCTTTTTTTTTTTTTTTTTGTACTTGGAGGAATTTGTGTGAAGCAGAGTTTCCACAGCACGAATTATGCAGAAATAACTAGTATCTCAACCAGAGTTAAAAAGAACTACAGAACATGTATATAGTAGTAAAGCAACCTGACGGCTTAAAGCTGCAATATTCTTCTCAGAGGGCAAAAGTGTTCAGGACTGTGCTTGGCCTACAGAGGAAACTGCCTTCCTGCAGAGTTTCCACCTCAGGCAAGCGTCACCAGCTTTTTTCACTTTCCAGCCAACAACTGAGCTCCCCAGCGCCGCTCAGCACAGAAACCGTTCCACGGGGCTTCTGGTAAGCTTCCCACATTTACTTACCTTGCAGTGAGAAAGGGAACTAAAAGACAAAACAAATTCCCCAAGAATTTAACCAAAGGAAGAAGATGTACAGCAGAGAAGGAGAAACACTGCAGCTTCAAAACCCAAACCCAGTGTCGCAGTCTACCATCGCAAAGCTCTAGGCATCGTGCCGGTGCTCCTGGCCGTGCCGAGCAGGCTCTTTGAAGTCTGTCGCTTCCCCCACTCACTTTTGCCTTGGCCGGGCGGGGAGGGATGGTGGTGATGAGTTTAGCAGAGTCCTGGGGGGGAACATCCATCAATGGAAAGCGTACAGCAGCAGTAAGATGGTACAGACGCCAATAACGCCACCCAAGATGAGGGAATCTCGTCGTTTCCGAAGGTTGATCCTTTGAATCAGGCTGTTCACTGCTGGAAACCGATCTTTAAGGAGTCTGAGTCAAGGCCATATCAACAAACAGAATCTACACTAACGAGCCCCAAAGTCCACACGTGGAAATCCCAACAGCGCAAGAAACGCAGAACTGCTCCCAGGCTGGAGAAAGGAGATGCAGTAAAAAAACCCCTGACGACCAGTTAGTAGGATTACAACCACCCTTCACTAAAACCAGACAGAATGGAACCCAAGAGTTCACATTTGCACAGGATTCATCACCTAAATTACCAGCATTTGATATGCTTTAATCTCCAACATGCGAGGCTTAGTTATTTTTAATAATTGTGTTTAAATGAGAATGAAAGAAAAAAAAGTGGGGCAGTTATATAAAACATCTGTGGAATTGACTTAATGGAATTCTGTTCCTGGTGAAGGGAACAACCAAAGGCATTTGCCTGAGAAAAATCATGCAGGTTGCATGACTACGCACTGTTCAAGCACAGCACGTAAGGAAGGACTCCTCCTCCTGTAAAATCATACCGATGTAAATCTATCTTTTAATGTACAAAATACAACTGCCAACAAGGTAATAAACTTCAGAGCTTCATGTCTTTGGGATCAAGAATCTTTTAAGGCCAAAGCTTATTGAATTTTTTTTTGTTCTTGCCAGCTGCTAAGAACTGTAATGAAGTTTATGGGTTCCCAAGTTACAACTCTTCAGGATGTAATCTGTCTAATCCAATGATGCTAATGTTGGTCTTTGGGCCCTTATGACAGAAAGGAAGAAGTAAATGGGAAAACGACAAACATGCATGACTTGACAACCCGGCACGCTGTTTAGCCATAAGCACAGAATATGAAGAGAAACCAACGAGCCAAAATCTTAACATCGACAAGCCCATGCCAGTTAAGAGGCTGGTCAGGTCATTAATAGCTGTGAACCCCAACTAGCAACAATGGATGTGAAGCTTCAGCTCTGAAAGCAAAAACCAAGAAGTAAAACGAAATTATTCGATTATAACATACAGCAGGGAAGGCTATAAAATGCTGCTGCAGATCTTTACCTGAAAATTAAGCTTCAGTGACATAGACACAGTATTCACATGTGAGTTAACTCAACTTACGACATTCATCATTAAGATGCTTCAGTCAGATTATCAAGTGAGACTGGTAAAAAAAATGGTCTGTTTGTCACCAATGACAATATCACTGCAGGTTATACAGCCCCTGACATCACAAAGCATTTTGATTCCCCATGACACAGTGAAAAAATTGTACTATACCTCATTCTATGCGCTGGCAGCACTAATTTTTGGGAAAGGATACTAGCCAAGGTATTCATCTTGCTTTGTATTGACTTCAACATCCCTCTCTGCGAAGTCATATTTTCTTTAGTTGCCATAGCGATGCTGGAGAAAGAAAAAGAGTGGATCAGGTTGCTGGTGCTAAGAATAATCTACAGCTAAAACAAGAGGAAAGCAATGCTTCTTTAGAGAACAATGAATGAGGTGAAGCAAGATGAATGAAACCACATTTTTTCTGCTAATCCCGATCCTTTACACTTAAATGATTTCTCTTTTTATGTAAGCTACTAACAATGAAAACACTGCAATTTCTCAAAACAGGCAAAATCCTGAAATTTTCAATTGGCAGCTCGGTAAGAACAGATTCAACATTTTAATATTAAGTTTGGGAGTGTTAGATTTAAAAGAATAAAAATAGAATGAAAATTGCAGGGCAGAACTATGAAAAACCTTCAAGCATTTTTTTATTTACAGCCGGCTATTTAGCACTTTTTGTCTTTTATACTTTCGAAGTGCCCAATCAGCACAATGTGAAAATGAAACTCGTGATTAACTGGAAGCAACAGCGTCTGCAGTCGCCTCTGTGATATTTACAAAGCGGGTGCCAGAATCCGTTAACCAATGCTCCTTGTTTCTGCAAAAAACAACACAAGAAAGTCTACAAAGCTCCTCCTCTTAGCACTGTGTAGCTCTGCCACTCGCACATTGTCCGTGCTTGTTCCTGTGGATACACTAACTCATCTAACCCATAAATGCCACTGATTTATCGGATTACGTGGGAGAGTCTTTTCAGGACAAAAATGGCAGGAAAAAGAAAGTGAAAACTAGATTAGAGAAGAAAAAGAATTGTGTCCTTGCCTACCCCAGCAATGCATGAGTATACAAAGAAAAGCGTCTAAGGGAACAGAAATTCTGGACAGAGAATAAGCAGCTGTGTATCAGTATAGAAAAACCAGTTATCAGCAAGGGCTTTAAAAGGGGCTACAAAAGGAGAACAGTAAACACATCAAATTGTATCCGACGTGAGAAGACTGGGCATTGCACAGATTATATACAACTCAGCATACAGGTATTTTAGCTCTCTGAAGTAAGAAGCAACAAGCTTGCAAAATTATTTTATTTGCTATTGAGAAGAGCACTCAGGAAATTTGGGATTACTAGGAACCAAGGAAAAAAAAATTATTTCCTAGCTGTACACAGGAAAGCTCGCTCAGTAACCTCCTGCTTCTTACCTTACACCCCCACACTGCCTCGATCCGTGTCCAGATGAAGTCTTAATACAGCATTTCTCAAAGCACTCCTGAATTAAGCCACATGTTTTCACAAGATGCATCCAATGACTCATTAAGGCATCCATTAATTTACAGAAGTGAAAATATAAGCTGAGTGCCAGGACATAAAGTGCTCCTGAGACACCTCCAAAATGCCTTTGGAAATAACTGTTACAGATGATCACGGAACACAAGGTTCCTGCTTCAACATCCGAGGAGTGAAATTGTCCATTTCATATATAAAAAAGCAGCATGTAACTGTTTAAGTTTACAGATTACAAGACTGTAATTGTAATTTCTTTTATCTTGGGTTTTGAAAAAAAAAAACCTCAAAAGGCTAGGTTTTTCAGAAGAAAAAAAAAAGTAGTGATTAGCACGTTTAATATGCTATGGTCTAGTAACGAAATGTAATTGCGATGCCCACTAACAAGAGTTGAACTGGATTCTAGCTACCATTAACAAGCCAAAATTCAGGTAGAAAGCACTGTTCTTCATGTCTAATTCGATTATTCAAAACACCAGCTGGTTTAACTAAGCCTTTATATCTGTAAATGAGACTCTTAAGTTTAAGCACTGCCAGAAAACACACAGCTCCTGGGGACTAGTCCACTGATTGGTCTCGTACAATCTTAAGCACTGCAGCTTCCTCATATCCTTCGTCAGACAGTTTTGGTTTCCTTCCCGTCCCTAACATATGCTCATTGACTTACTGCTGCCATCTCTTCACTGACAAATGCAATTTAAAAAAAATTAATCATATTCTTCCCATTCACAATATTGGCCCCATTTAGTTACTTGACGCCGTGATCTCCGCAGATCAAGAACACCTTTTTTTCCTTTTTACATTTTGAAGCTTCTACACAACATTTACGATAAAAGATTAAGCGCTTCCTACCGGAATCAAGATGACCCCGATTTAACGTTTCATTTGGAATCTGGCATGGGCTATTCTCGGTGCAGCACTGGCTTGAACTACTAGAGCTGGGTGTAAACCAAGTTTCTAAAACCAGATGGTGTTCTGCTCTCTGTGTCTGCTATTAAAGCACTGCTGAAGTACAGCACTGGAGAAATCTCTTCTAGGCAAGCCCCCAGTCACAGCCACGAAGAGCCCACCCGTGCCTTTCACAAATCAGGAGTATCACAAATTCCTGTGCCTGCAGCCAAGTTCCCTCAACGTTTTACTCCCGTTTCAAGCTCATCCTTGAACATGCAGTAGCGCTGTGGGTACGCAAGCAACCATGTTCCTCTTCCAAAGCGAAACAATGGGTATTTGTACCTATTTGCAGTTTTCACTGGCATGGAAGAGCACAGAGTAATAAACACTTCCAGCCATTATCACAGTCAAACTAGTCTACAGGCAGAGACACGCTTTTAATGCTGCTTGACCTAGACAAATGTTTAAGCTGTCAGGAATTTTCACCCCACATAGCAGCCTTTTGTCAAGTGAAACGCACCACAAAGTCAACTCCCTGCTTCATCCGTAGAGACAGCTCAGTCAAACCGACAGTGATGAAGAACTAAAACAAAGCTCCAAAGGAGCAAGACGTGGTTTTAAAAATCCAACAATTCCCCTATTACTGGAACTTCTGCTTCATTTTGTACTCCGTGAATCATAGTTGCTCATTTACATTCATGACAACGTCTATGATTAAGGGAACGGACTCTGCCTCTGCAGAAATGCAAGCTCTACATTGGTAAAGATTCCGATTCCATCACTCTTCTTGTGTACACACGTACACAGACCTTTCTACATACACATGGGTGTGTATACACATAGGTACACACATCACCTTTCAAATTCCTTTAAAATACTATGTCTTTTGATGAACCCTCAGATAAAAACGAAAGGAACATGCTCCCAGAAACACAAGTGGTTTTGCCTAGACCCTCAATAGTGGGGTTCTTCCGAAAAGAGCCGAGACTCAAAGTCTAACTCAGGCCTTTCCATCCTATAAAGTCAAGATTTCACGCAAGTGAATTTCCCCCTTCTATTAAATCCTGATTATTACCTAAAGAAACACTCCAACTCTGTAAGGAAAGGGTTTTTTTTAAAATTAAATCTGTGCTTTTGGTCTGGCTTTAGATATAAGTGGAGCAGTCCCATCTGTTAATATACAAACACTGACAAATCAGCCTGAATCACGCCTCAAAACCAGTACTACAATAAAATCCTAATAACTTGCCACACTGTACATGCAAAACCACAAAAAAATGCAAACTGAGCCAATCTAAAACCCTAAGTTGTTGGAAAACAAGAAATAAATCGTTTGCTATTTTGGAAAAGTGATAATGTTTGAAAATGAAAACCCGAGAACAAACATATTAAGCAAAATCTATGCTTATATTTAAACCTGGCCAAGAGAAGCGAACACTGTTCCAAAAGAACTGCAGTACAAAGTATCACATCCCACTCGTTTCTGGGAAGAAATATGCTGCAGTAAGAACCCATGTCATGTAATTCGTTTAAAAATTGATTACAAGTTTAGCACTAACAAAACAGCTGGAACGACTCATCGCTCCCGTCACCGCATCGTTTCGGCTCAGGTGCCCGGATGCTCTCTCGCACGTGTGCTGGCTCCCATGGGGGAACCTCACACACGAAGGGTCAGGCTCTGCGCTTCGGTTCTTTCTCCACAAGAAGTTCGAGCGAGGGTTTCGCAGCCTGTGTCAACGGCCGGGTCCCTGGCAGCGGGGTCACCCGCACGCAGCTTCTCAACCAAGGCCTCTCTGCACACAGAAAAAGCCTTTCCAGCTCAGTAACAACCCCTAAGAAACTCAGAAGTGTTTCTTGGCTTCCTGAATTACACCCAAATGATGCGTAAGGAGCTACAGCAGATGTAAACCTTGCAGACAGAGCAGTACTAGCAGCCAGGATACGCCAAGTCTCACTTGACTCAGGGAATCCGCATTCAGACAGCTTGCCCTGCACGAGTCCCTCTTTTACTTGGTTTTACTGATAATCAGAAGTTGGGTAAATTTCTGTCTGGTAAAAATCACTTAAAATGCAGCAAGGTGTACCACCAACTAACACCATTCCTAAATACTTGCAGGACCTGGGGATGACAAGAAAAAAACGGAGTAAACCAAAAATCTCACCCTGGTTTCCACACAGTTGGAATTGAATTAAGATGATATAAATTAAATCGCATTTGCTGCTCAATATAGTTACTGAACAAGCACTTGTTCTACAAAAAGAAACGCAGAACATTTTGGGCAAAAACTACAAGTAGTTCATTTTACTACAGGTAATAAATGGTACAACGAGGAGTGCTGAAACCCAGCCTCTTGAAAAAATCCAGAAGGAACGTTTTCAGTGACCAGCACCAAGGAGCTCTGGCCCGAGCCAGGCAGGAGGGATCATCTCGCGAGCAGCGGCCACCGCTGAGACAGTCGCTCTGCAGTCAGAGCTGCAGCTCACGCAAACGAAACTCGAAGCCGTTTGCGACCAGCCAGGACACCTCCTGCTGACACCACGGAGTAGGCTCAAACCCGATGGAGGAGCCTGGGCGAGTACTTGGGCAGCTGCTGCTGTTCTGAGCAGCTCCAGCTCGCCACAGCTACGTCCCCTTGCACAGCTGAACCGACACGGAGGTTCACTTCTCACACACCCCCCCTCAGCGTCTCCGATGACAGATAACCAAGAGGCTGGGTGAGGAGCACAAACGATAAAGCACGAGTCATTTTGCAGGACATTAAGCTTAATAAATCACCATGTGCTGTTTTAATGTTCTAGTCACTGGAGTGGTGGCAAATAAGAGATTCAACGAACACTGAGCGTTTTTATGAAATGGAAAAATAGCGCTACGAGCTTGGTAAAAAAGGAGAGGATTTCTAATCAGGAAAGAAGGAGAACCCTAAGTAAAACAAATATTCACAATAACTGAGCTAAGTTTGGCAAATACCTTTACGAGGCTGTGGTGAGATTATACCCAGATTTTCAGACTGCTTCTGGTTCATCACTGCACATTAATGTGGTTTAACACATTCTTCCACCGTGTTAATTATACTGAGCCCACTGTGTGTACTTAAGCTAGCCAGCCCTTAATGGACTAGAGCCTTGCTACACTTCTAATTATTCCTCTTGATCACTTATGCCAGTACATGCATCATCTGAAAGCATATCGTGCTTGCTTTCTTCCTTTTTTTTTTAAATGAAGCAATAACCTAAAATTTAAACCCATTAAGTTAGACATTCTGAATTACTGGTTTGCAGAATTCCAGAGTTCAGTGGATGATTGGGAAGGGCACAGATGCTAAAAGCAATTTATGATGCTACGGTTCATCAGTTAGAGAAGGTATCCCTCCAGTATTCAAACCACATCAAAACCCCCAAAGCTAAATAACTATACAACAGCAATAACCTCTCCAGCCCTTGTGGTAAAAGCCCTCTCCTATATCAGCAGCACAGTAGGGTGCTGAATACATTGAAGGATTATAGAAAACCATGTTGTACAAGAGTATGAATAAAATATTTAAGCAACACCATTATTTCAACATTGAATAGAAAAAAAAAAACCACAACCCCAAACACCGGCACTTTATTATAATACTGACTATGAGTTATAAACAATACAGTCATTGTATAAATAAAATTACTATCTTTAGACACAATTCAATGTAAACGCTGATTGCACGGAAAATAATGAAAATTACTAAGTCTGTTCCTACCTTATTGTTTCTTCTATCAGTCGATCTGAGCTGAAAGCCAAAAGAAAAAAAAATTGAAGTTAAAAAAAGTAACAAGCACCAAGTATTATTTTAGATGATCAAATCAATGATTGCCATAATACAAACCTTAACAAATTTACCCTTAGAATGTCTTATTTCAGGATGTTGTCACTTTTTGCTACTACATAATTTGGTAAATACAACGAGAGTCTTTGGAGAAGATGCACGTAGGGTCCTCTGGAGCGGCATTCACCAACTGTGTGCAAGAGCAGATGCTCAAGAGAACACACAAAGCACTGAGAAGACTGAGAAGAGGGAATGTGCCCCATGATTCAACAGCTAATTAATGTTAACTGAGTCTTAATTCACACTTTAATTTGTAGTTTAAGTTAATGTGTACCTGGTACCCAGGACAGTTTAGAAAGGAGTATTAGAGAAGGAAGTACCTAATTTTATTGCTTTTTCACCCTGGTCATTCTTGCCCACCCCTTCGAAAAAACATAATTAACAATAAAAGCTGAGACATGGTTCCAGGTAATAGCATCTCAAAAACACTGCTTCAGAGTTAGTTTACTAAACGCTGGTTTATGGTGGTTAACGAGCCAAGTTCTTTCTAAGACCAGCTGGATGAGAATTAAGCGATGGTCATGGGAAACAGAATATGCACCGTCTGTAAGAGAAAGACCTCGATAACACGTGTCACTTCCCCCTGGCTGCCACACACTCTCTGAGTTTTTATGTAGCATCACTGGCAAAAGGACAGCCAAAAATACAGCACCACCAAGAGAACATTTCTTGTTTAAAAACAAGATTAAGATGACAAATGAGACCCTCAGAAGGCTTGAGCAATTCCTCTTTTTTGGTACTCAACTTCTTACAGAAAGGTTTTTAATCACTGTTTTACAGCCAGTTATGACATCCTAGAAAAACAGATCTTGCTGCGGCAACCGGTATCTCAGATGTAACACTGACATAGACCAGGTGAGCGCAGCCCCGCTTCCCAGACAGCAGAAACAAGGATGCATCCCTGCAGTTTGCTCCGGTTACCCCACACAGCTATGCACGCTCTTGTAGAATAACTAAAATAATAATAATCTGAGTTTGCAGTTTCAGAAGGCAATCAATTCAACAGAAAGTTTTATGCTGTACTGGCTATTGCTTCCAGTACTAAGGCAGAATTTATTGCTGCCAAACTAAAAGGATTAAAAGATACTGAAAGGGCACGACCGTCTTCGTCTTCCGTTCTCCTTGTTCCAAGTGTTTTGCCACCTCAGAAAGGGAAGGTATCAACAGCCTCCGGCGCAGCCCAGATCTGCCTCCGACTCAGCCGGAGCTGCTCGATTTGGAACTTTGCTTCTACCCACAGAAATTCTGGAGATCCCCCCACACCTCCAGCTGGAAATGCGGCGAGAGAACGCAACGAAGACGCGTGTGCGCACGCGTGTGCCTGCCTATGTGTGTGTGTGTAAACTGCTCGGGAGGGAGATGCTAACAGCACGTCCTTATTTGTCTGTGAAGAGGAGTGAAAACACGAAGGTTTCTATTTCAGTCTAGTCCATGGTTTGAAATATGGAGACAGCACACGGAGCACTAAAAATATTTTGTCCGATTTTAAGTTGAGAGGGACTCAACTGGGGCAAGTAAGCGCTCAAAACACAGGAACTGGAACACTTCTTTCTGCTCCCAAAACAAAGCCACGCTCCAAAGATCCGCATCACTTGCAAGTGCATCAGTTTAATCAAATCAACCCATCTTCGTTCGCTGCGTGGTATCCATCACCACCGGCCCAGAGAAGTAAAAACACCACAGCTATGTACACAGAATGATGTAAGCAGTCTCAAGTCTCACAGCATCTGATAATGTCCCCGAGGCAAGCGGAACAGAAAAGTGATGCATTAAAGATTTCTGCAATTCTCAAACAAAATTCAACTGAGAACGGGCCTTTCATTCACAGACAGTCTCTAACAGGCAAGTGTGTCGTACGGGCAGTGCATAATAAGAATAAAAGTGCAAAACCATCAGGTGACAGTCTGAAAAGCAAGAATAGTGCATGAGAACGCATCACTTTGTAAAAGGTATGGTTTTTTTAAAAAATAAATAAACAGTAAAAGGATATCAGAAACCTAGCTGGAAGTAAGTCAGGCTTACAAGAATTCTGTGGAACAAAACAGTCCTATTAAAAAACTCTTACCCTGGAAAAATCACCAGCGTTATCAGCTCTTTGTCCATTTCACTGATGAAATTACAGTATTTTCATGCTGATGAACTGAAGATGACAGGGAAGTTGAAAACATTCAGAGACCTTAAGCGAACTAGGATGTGCTCCCAGGTTCTAAAAGTAGGAAAATTAGGCTTGCTGTTTGCAGCAGACACTATTTTTTATACTGGAGAGAGCTGCAGTTAGGCAATTTTATTAGTTAATCAGAGATATATACACAAAAAGTATTCACAGCTTCAGATTCATTTATATTACACTGCATCATTTTTTATATGTGTATGCCTACACATACATAAAAATACACACATATTTACATAAAAATAAACGCTGGAAATGTAGCTACCTGTCAAACGACAGGTAAAAGTTTATTAACTCAGTAATAAACAGTTCTTGATAGCAACAAATGTGGAAATTAGATGCAAATGCCAACTCAAGGCATTTAACAGGCACCTAAATCATAAGATCGATGTTTCTCAACTTACGTGGAGGTCACCCCTACTATTTAAAAGGATGGGTTGCCCATGAACTGTCTTCAGAATGACTGATGAGCAACAGCAGACTTAGTTTAAGTCTTAAATGAAGAGCTGGGAAGCATGAAGATTTGCTGAATACAATTTCCGATATGTTCTTCCCACCTTTGGACAGCCCTGAGAGGATTTCCAAAATGAACAAACTCCAGCAGAAAATGGCAACGGCATTCACTAAAATTTTGGTAAAAGGTGGGAGCAGGAGCATTTTATGGGAAAAATTGCAGCGATGTTGGAGGCTTTTCTAAAGGCAGGAGCAGGCACTCCGACAGCTCCTCTCGGAGTCTGTCAAAGTTCTTGGCAAATACAGATTTTAGCATCCACTTACGGTGCCACCCAAACCGAAGGAAGCTGCTGTTTCCTCACTGTACAGGTCATAACCATATAGAAAGTAACAGTCAGATTTAAGGAAGATCATGAACACAAATATAACAGGGCCCAGAGACCCAAGGGATTTCTGCAGATCTCTGGCTATTAATAACCTGGTTTATACAAGCGTTATTCGTAGTTGTGAGAACTTATTTCAGCTGTTTGGCAGAATTAAAAAAAAAAAACACTGAAAGAGGTAATTTTGCTCAATTTACACACTCAAAACACTACAAAAAGAGGCTCTTAAAAATAAAATCTCTTGCTCTTCTGCTTTCCAAGTGAAGAGACCAAATCCAGTGGACATTACCTTACAAACATCCAAGCAAGCAAACGACGGTTCTAGGCAATATTGAGCTGAGTTGCCATCTGTTTCAATCGCTGTGCCTTTTCACCTGTCGAGACAGATGGCACTCTGACAAAGCCATTTAACAATACTGCCCAAAAGAAACACGGGAAGATGCTGAGGCAATCGCCTACCGTAATAAATGAGACCAACCCAACGGCAGCATATGAAATAATCAGGCCTGCGCGCAACTGCTGTCTTCAGGAAAGATTGTGCAGTTTGTCATGTAAATATGCGGGCAGGGAAATTAATCCAAAGGAAAAATTAAGTGAAACATGCCTCTAGGACAGAAGAGGAACCTGGCCATCACGTCAAGCATTTTATGCTCTTTGTTTTTTTAAAGCAAATCTCTGTGTCAGTAGTTAACGTTTAGTAACGTAGATGATTACTTAGGTTAGGACGGGGCTTCTCCTGTACCGATAGATTTTGCTCGGACGTACTAGCTGGAGACCCAACACATGCACTTGTCAGAGAAATGAGATACAGCAGTAAAATTCATCTGCACACAACTCATTTCACAAGGCACTCTAAACCTTCAGATGAAATTAATGGCAATATTATCACAAAGTATTATTTTAAAGGATTAGGGAAAAACCCTTTAGAAGAAACTAATACAACGCTCAATAATTATTTTACCTTCATAAAGAATAATTACAGAAATAATAATTTTACTATGTTCTTTCTCTAACTGCAAAATCAATCACTAGGCTCAGCTCTCTCAAACTGCCTGCAATTAATCTTTTGTATTTTCACAGTCCTGGATCATCAGGCAATCTGGAGCTTCCAGGAATGCAAATACTGCAAAATATACTTGATAGTCCAAGACAAACATACAGGTTATGACAAAGCAAATCAGGCTTATACAGTCAGTTATCTCCATCAGAATAATCATTCCTAACTCACGAGAGAAACATTGCATACACACAAAAAAACCATCTCCAATCCATTTTTTCTGCTTGCCGCCAATGTACCTTTATAATCTGAAAAATCTGGAAGACCATTAAGCTCTTTAAAAACTTAACGAGAAGAACGGAAACCAGAGCACTTGCCCCCTTCCCCCACCATGATAACAAGATATTCCGGATTTTTCAAGCTTGATTGAATTTAGCATTCCACCAGAATTTAGAATTCCACCAGAGCTGCTTAGCCAGTTTGGACCATCTCCTACAGTTGCTAATGAAGACAAAAATCAGTGTAGAAGCCCACTCATTCACTGAGGTCCAACACAAGAGCATGGCCAAACACATCTAGGGTACAGGACACCCAAGAAAATTTGTAACAGAGGACTGCACAGGCACCAGAAAACTCACTGCTGTGTTTTTATCGAACCAGCACCTGCTATGAGTGCGCAGCATGCAAGAGCACAGGGAGGAAAAGGAATATATTTGACTTACATCTTACATTTCCAGCGTGAGAAGAGCTAGCTGGCCAAAAAACAAAGACACAAGGCAAAACGGGCATTTGCAGGGATGAACAGTTTGCCTCAGAAACCCTTCTGAAAACAGAGCAAGGTTCAAACACCGCTGCTAGCAGCTATCTTTTGTGGCTTCCCTTTATATGCTAATTAAAGCAT